CCTACTCCAGCACTGCTGGGTATCTAAAGCTGCTGCAAGAATGATTTGTTTGGCTGATCTGATCATTGAATCCATCTTCAAACCTTTTTATATTTTGTCCACCCCCAATTCAAACATGAAGTTGTGTGCTTTCCTCCAGCAGTGTCTGCAATTTTTAGCTCCTAGATGCTCTTGACCTCCGTCTTTTATTCCAAGTCCTCAGCTGAAGCTGACACCTTTTTCAGTGTCCTTTTTCCATGCCTTCACTTATGTGGATCTTGACTGTAAAATTAACCTGGTTCTTCTTCAGATACTTGTCTAGTGCCTATGCCTGTATCCGTGTGAAACCACTCACCGCAATTGGTCAAGTCTTTAAACTAGAGTTTGGGTGTCCAGCTATCTGGTGAGGTACACCCATGCTGCAGAGGGGACTCATCATCGGTTGCAGGAGTGCCTTTTGGTGCATGCTGTCTTGCCTGTACAGTTCCCTGGGGCTACGTGTCAGCTTTCACAGGTGCTCATGTAGCAGGTTCAGACAGCGCTGGCAGGGCTCTCTCCGTGCTGCAGCCTGTGCTGTCCTGAGCCCTGAGCGCTTTCCTGACTCCCATCTGTATCACCGCCCACTGCTGTTTATCCTTAAACTTGTTTCTTCAAGTGAAGATGTCCATGTTTCATACGTGTAAGCAATCATAAATATAGGAAAATAATTCAATGCCTTCCAGAATTGCATTTAGCCTACCCCATGATAAAATAAACAAAGATTGCTTCTCTCTCTTCAAGACTTCTCTGCCCCCACTCCTTTTTTCATTCCTGTCCTTGTTTTGAGAATGAAGAATTCATCTTTCTTAGCACTGTGAGAGCAACATGGATTTTCATAATCTAAGTAATAGTCTTTTTTCTTTTTTCTTTTTTTTTTTTATCTAGAGGCAAACATTACGCTAGTTTAAAAATCTCCCAGTATTATTTTTCAAAGTCAATTTTGTAGTCCTCTTTAAAGCGAAAGCAGTATTCTGTGTTTGTACAGGGTTCAGCACAGACCTTAATCTTTTCTGGACTCAAATTGTACCACAGTATAAAGGATAACACATGCTCTTTGCAGCTAAAAAGGAAACTAACATCAACTAATGTCATCCGTAGCCTTTTGTCTTACCAAGAACTTTGTTCTATAGAAGCCCTGGGTTGGCTGCCACCCTCTGACCCTTTGGAGGTTAGACATCCCAGATTGCGCTCTGTTACATGTAGGGTATCAGAAGTAGAGCTGTGCTTTCAGAGTTTGCTTCCCAGATCTGGAACTGATGGAGTGCAACAGCTATGCACATCAGGATCTGTGTTTTTCACAGGGGACAGTCCCGTCTCTCCCACTGCCTGCCCTTGGGACTGGTGACTCGGTCTCTGGACTAAGATGCCCAGTGCTGGATTCTCTCGTTGGGTGTGCCAGAGTCAGCTGCTCATCCTCATGTCTCAGCCAGCTTCTCCAGAGCCGACTGCTAGTCCCATTCCTTCAACCATTTGTGAACTGGAGAGTCTGTTCATGCAACGCGAACACACGGTGGAATCACTTAAGTGCCTCTACAGGGTACTGAGCTAGGGAAGAAAATACAACATTGTGTATTGGTAACCAAACACAGCCTGGTTGCATATACTACACTGAGTGGATGGAGAGGGCCACTTGATTTTCTGAACCTGTTTTTCCTACCACACCTTTGAAATCAAGATGTGTCCTACCTTACGTTTCCTGACACTTGATGTACTTACATTTGTAAAATGTTAAGAGATCCTTGTATGAAATTTGTAAACCTATGAAATTACTGGAAAATAATTGTTTGCTGGGGATAGAACCTGTGTGTTACCGCTTTGATGATAAATGTACCCACTGGAATCTGTTGTGTGGCAGAGTTTTTTACTGTATCTTCAAGCAAATGAAACAATAGCTGAGACATTTTTGATCTACAGGTACTCCAAAGACAAATACTATGCTGACTAAAAGTCTCACTGTATTGCCTGTCACAATCCAGCTTGGAATGCATAAATATCTTCAGTGATACATTAAACTTGCAGCCAAAATAGGATGGCTTTTATCAAGTGCTGGCACTCTAAAAGAAGATTATTTGGGAAGTTAGCGTTAGGATCCAGACTTAAGATTTTTGCTTAAGATAATCAAGCGGTGGAGCTGGGTTCATTTTTGTGGTGCCTTCACACAATCTTGCATCAAGTTCATTTGAGATGTAGGTAGGATGGAGAGAGATACAGACTGAGTCTCTGGGAAGCTATCAGCCTAAGTGACTAAATTTATTGTTCACCAAAATTCCTGAATACTTAATGATATGCTGATCTTCCAATATACAGCGACCTGTTTGAATACAAATGCTACTTATTTTGGTGTATTTACCAGATCATGCCATTCCTGTGCTATCATGTGGAAGAGCTGGCATATCATTTCCAATGATTAAAGGAACACATCGAGCAGGTTAAAAACTCATAAACATTATCCAGTGAAAAATACTGAAATCTCTTTTTTAAATCCACAAATAAATGCATATAGATACATTTCATAATTACTTTAGCCTAGAAGTTTATACTGTTGGTCTGAGCAAAATGAAGTACAGTTTGTTGGAGTTTTTTTGGAGGGGAGAATATTTTGTGAGAGAGCATAGAAGAATTAAAAGTTGCTTTTACAAAATAAGTGTGAAAATAATTTGTGTTGAAGGATATGAATCCAAGGTGCATAAAAGATGTAATGAGAGCCTATGAACCTCCAGAAAACCTTACAAAATAGCTTCCAGAAAGATTAGGGCACCAAAGGATTACTAACAGGAAACTAGGGGCGCTGTTGAGAGGCTCAGTAGCTCCATTTGTCATTCCCTTCAAATGCAAATCTTCCATAAAGGTTTTTTAGTTGTTGATTTACCCAAAAAGAGAAATTTCCGGGTAACTTATGCCTGACCAAATATACCATCTGAAAGTCAGCTTTACATCCCTATTTAGGGATGTAAACAACAAGATGCCGTTGTCTGCAACAATTTAGAAATCACTACTTGCTTGAGAGTTCTGCATATAGTAAGATCCTCTAGCATCAGGCTGCCATTTGTTTACTTCTCTAGATTATAGAATATTCCTTTCACATGGAGATGTCAGCCCCTTGACAGTAAGCAAATGGTAAAGGTAAGGGAATCTAAGTCATTTATGTGCTTGAAACTAAAGAGACTAGGCTATACAACTAGTCATCATTAGCAAGCTGAAGTAAAGAAAATACTAATTTTTAAAATGCTGTGATCTCCAAGAGCTTAGAAGTGATGTATCGTTTAAGCTTATAATGCAAAACCAGGGTATAACCAATGGATGCAGATGAATATAAATTGATTCGGTGGCAGATGCACATCTGCAGCTGAGACCAAACATTCAATTAAAAAGAAAGAAGCTGGTAATTCTTCACACTTCAGAAAGGCTATCCAAAAAGACTGTTAAGGCACCTGAGAATTTTCACACAGAAAAAAATGTACTACTGTGCCAACGTTATGAAGCACTGTTTTGTTCATTGAGGACCTAAACATGAGGGTGAATGCAGAAAAAAACCCACATTTTATTAGAAGAAATGAGAGAATATTGTGAGGAACTCCAGAAAGACTAGACTAAACTGTGTGAATGAGCATCACCAGGGTACCTGGAACTCCAAGTCGACAGGCTGGGAAGGAACAGAGAAACGGCTCATTCACTTTTTTAAATTCAAGGTTAGCTGTAGCAGCTCAGGAGAAATACCTGGCTGTGGCTTATTGTATGTTGTGGACAGTTTAATAAACACTTCCACTGTTAACCGAACTGAACAGAAAGTTAGCATGTACAGAAATGGGCAATTGTGCTGGAATGATCATAATGCCCTTCTACGCTCTCTCACCCTGAACACTGTGTTTATTTCTCATCCCCTCGTCGAAATAAAACACAAAAATAATTTGAGAGGCAGAGAAAAAGAAGTCATGAAAGAGGCTTCCTTTGGATTTGAAAAATGTCGGAACAGCTAGTGTTGTACTGAGAAAGTGAAATGGGCGGACTACTTGTGTCACCACTTGGCACACCCCAGTTTCACACAAACCCCGAAAGAGACAGGTGTTCTCAGGGAAAGAAAAGTTTGCCATGTTAGGACTTTCTACCTCCTTCCCAATCTTACTAACATATTTATTCATTATATTAGCTTCGCATACATTAGCATGTCTCCTTTGTAATATTAACAATTCTGAAAAACTTCTTGCTGTGTAGCCTGATTAGCATGCTAATTAGGCCTCTCCTGTCAAGCACTTCTAGAGTGGTAAGTTATTTCTGGGTATAAGCAGTGAAACGGTATTTAGTTAAGTACCCAGTTTAAAAGTTTGTCTTCAGATCTGGATGTTCTTTTAAGAACTAAATGTAATGTGTTATTCTACTCCAACTTGGATATGATCTCACCCTGGAACCATACAGGAAAGCTGTGCTAGCTGAGCAAAACTTTGATTTCGATAACATTGTGTATATGTTACGTATGTACAAACATATGAATTCAGAGTTTTTCTGGATTACACACACCCAATACACACACCCAGTCTAGGAGAGCTTTTTTGGTGACATCCCCTTCTATCTGTCTATCTGTATGCCACTAAATCACTGAGATATTTTTCTTTGAGAGGAAAATAATGGCACTGAGTTTGTAATTTCTTGGACACGGCTTATGAATATTTTTTTTTTGCCTTACCTCAAATATATTCCAAAATGTTACACGGCAAGTGTTGCTATTTGGAAATAGCAGGCTCTTTTTTGATCCTTTTTAAGGGGAGAATACACCGGAGCGAACAATGCACATTCAGCTAATCCAGTACCACCAAAAAAAAAAAATCTTAGAGAGTAACACAGGGAATTGTGTTTGCGATATAAATGAGCATTTTGAAAATGGGTAACATATTTAACTACTGTGAATAATCTGTGCATAACAGTTGGAATTATAAAAGCCCCATAATATGTCTATAATCCTAATGTGTTTCTTTGCTGTTTTGCAGGCAGACCAGTAATGATTGTAGTTGAATACATGGAGAATGGATCCCTTGACTCCTTTCTGCGGGTGAGGTGCCATTTTCTGATGACATTTGAATAAGACGCCATTCTAGGTTAAGATTTTAAATCGTTTATCATAAATTAATTTCTACATAATGTTATTCATCGATTTTTAGTGAAGAATAGAAGCACTTTCCCCAGGGTACATTTCTAAGGTACAGTGATACATTAGAGCATAGCTGGAAAAAAAGAAGATATCAGCTTAAGAATGTAATTGATTTCTTCTACAAAAGTAGTTCCCATATTTAGCAAAATGTATTTCAAATAGCGTTTTTGTGAAGGAAAAGATAAATCGAAGCACACATGCCTAGCCTTATGGAAGCAGTTCATTTTTCTCAATCACCTTCAAAAATACTTTGTTACGATTTTTTTTCGTTGGTGAAGTGTAGAATAGACTCAGTAATTGATTTATAATTATTTATGGTTACTTGCATTTAACAAATTGAATTAGAAAACAGTTCATGGGTGAAATATCCTGGCATTAATTAACCCCCAAAGGTCACTAATAAATATTAAAGAAGGGCTACAGAAAGCATGAATAATATGTTGGCGCAATTGTTTTTAATTTTTCTTAGAAAAGTAGAAGGAAAGGATGACCCCCTAAGCTAAACCTATCCTAAAATGGTCTCTTTGTTAACAGAACCCCTGGAAATGCTCTGGAGGCCCACTGACATAAGACCCTGTGTGAATAATTTGATTGTCAAGTATTTCAAATCTATCTTAAAAAGTAAATGTCAATCCTTACTAGCCCTTGCAATGCCTTGCCATTGCCATCTTGCAGAATGGTAAAGCTGGGGTTGTAGGCAAGGTCAGGGCGGGGGATCAGGGGACTATGGTTTTGTGAACTTGTTTGAAAGGGTATCCCAAGTGCAAAGGAGAGGTGTTCAACAAGGAGCTGTGAAAATATTTGCAGGAAAAACTAGATGATGGTGATCAAGGATGCTATGATGGCAGGAAGAAGGAGCTGCTAAGAGAAAAGAGTGAATAAGCAGGAGGGAAAGAACAGCCAACACTTTAGAAAGAAGACTAAATCAGTGAGAGGGAGAGGGAGTCATACAGAGAGTACTTGTTTGACAGCAGGTCGAGAAAAGAGGTAGCCACAAGAGGAGAACACCGGGAACAGAGGATACTACTCTGAGAACCCATCAGAGCCATTATCTTAGATATTTCTAGACATTGTTTCTCCCTTCCTTTTACTTTTGATTATTCCATTGTATTTTTTCTCTAGCATTTCCTGCTGTCCTCTTCATCGACTCTCCCAAATAATTTTTTATTTTCCTTTGTCAAGACACATGACAGACCTCTGCTGTGTTGTCAGAAACACACCAGCACCACAGTTTCTGGTGAGAATTTGCTGATCTCTCAAAATCAAGTTATTTTTCTGGAGAGAGTTTGATATCATCAAGTTCTTCTTAGAAACTGGGTAGGTTTTAAAAATCACCCCCCTTGCGTTTCTGGTTCATCTCTCTATCCATCTGCAGCAGACAAACTGCTGTTGATTTGAGTACCTGGGGCTTCCCTGGTCTGTAATTTTTCAGCAGTGCCCCGGGAAGACTTGCCTGCGCCTGAAACTCTGCTCTGTGCGTGTGTGTGCGTGTGTGTGTGCAGAATTTCATAGAAGAGAATAAAACCAAATACTGAAATAATTCATGAGAGAGAATTACCTTTCTCTGAATTGCTCTAGTATGATATCTATATTCCAATTATTCTTCACATGCATTTATTTATCAGAATGGTTACTACCTATTAGGATACTTTAACAGAAACTGACATTAGCAAAAATATGATGTTATTGTGAAGCAATACTTCTCACATTGCATCAGATATATTTGTAGGCAAAACTGCTGGTGGGAAATGTGAGCTAATCATTTCTGCAGCTGGTTTCCATGTATATTATTTTACAGTTTCAATTCACACTTCAGAAATGGTTTATTCTTCTAAAATGCTTTTTAAAAGAACTAATATTCAACATTCCAAAGCACTGCAGATAAATCATCAGCATTTCTGTTAATAATTAGCAGAGCAAATGGCTGCAAAGTAACCTATTTAAAAAGAAATCCAGCTGCTTCATTAATAATATTGTTTCCTGCAGATAGAAGTCTACACTTTTAAAAGCGTATTAAAATCTTTGTGAAGATACAAAGAAGCAGAGAGGGTTTATCTTTAGCAATCCTAATGAAAGGTGTGCAGTGAATATAACAGTTCTTATGTGGTGAGATTTGGAAGGGCTTATAAAATAGTCTATCTTTCTTACTATTTAAAAGAATCGCTTGTTACAGTGCAAAGTGTTTTTACCGGGAGGGGGGGGAAAATCCATTTCTCACCATAAAAAATATTTCCCCACGCACCACAACCTGCAAAAATTAACCATCACATCCCTCCAACCTGTCCTTCTCCAAAAGCCTGCAAACATGGGTCAATCTTACAATTTCAGAGTGAAACTCTGTGATGAACCATGTGAGGGCATTCCAGAAGACTCCTCATGGAAGACATTTGCCATCAGCCTCCTGACGGCCTTGGTGTGATGTTAGCTTTCATGCCAGTACGAGTTGTGCGAGGAATCATAAACTCCAAGTAAAACTCCGCTTGACCCCTACACCCTAAAATCTTAATAGCTTTTACTTCCTTGCTTTACAGGTAGGGAAATAAAGCACCGGGATGATAAGTGATCTGCACAGTATCGTGCACAAAGTGCATAGCAGAGAGTAGAAATGAAATCAGTTCCCCCCAATTCCAGGCCAGCAGCTTACACTCATCCTTCATCTTTCTTAGTGCTGTATTTTGGTTGCAGTTATGTGGCTAAGTCCCCAAACCAGTGCCTCACTTTCTACTATTTGTATGAATTAAACAGCAAGCTCAGCTAGATTGTCTTCCCCACCCTACAAAATATCCTGTATGCTGGCTGCTAACTTTGAGCTTTTTGGGAAAAAATTTGGCACGCACTTGCAATGTGAAGATGCTTCAGATATATTCTTAGTGGAAAAGCTCAGCTAATTAGAACCAATTCTGTAAGATTATGGTAATTAATTACAGCAATTGTGCACCACCAGACATCCTAAATTGCTGGAGACACTTGACACTAAATTTTTCTCAGAAATCCTGCATTATTTTTGCAATTATATAAATCTCATTTCAATAAGATGAAATCAGTTATCTTTTTTTCTCATGGAAGATTGATGCGTGTAAGCTAATTGTCCCACAAAAGTATACCTGAAATTTGCTGTCAAGGAAATGCTCATTTGACCAGAAATAAGGTACATGTGACTTCACTTCTGGTAACACTTGGAGAGATTTCTCTGAAAAAGGATGTGAGCTTCCAGCTTAGTATTTCCTCAGGGGCTAGAGGCTCTTCTTTCAGTATTACTCCAGCAGCTGCCAGATAGGACTAGTCTGTGCTTGGGAAGAAAGTGGCTAATACTTCAGCTTGGGAACTGAGGAGATCCGGGTACAATTTCCTATTACCAACTTCACACACAGACTTTGGATGGGACACATTGTCTTTACGTTCCAGTCACCTGCCTGTGTAAAGGAGATCTTTTAGCAGTCACATATTCTGCAAACATATGAGGAAAATAATAAACACACGAAGAGTTGAAAGGGCAGCTATCTGTATTGATAGAAAGATGTATCAGTAATTAGATAGGATAGTTGCAGTCAGTATATGTTTGCTCAGGCTTGTTGATACAGAGTACAGAAGATACAACAAGAAAGACAACCAAGAGAGACATATAATAGGAAAAAAAAAGCCTAAAACCCGCAAAACCTTTTTAACAAGCAGTTTGCCACTGCTGTGGGTTTGAGATGCCTGTTCTCTGAGCATGGCCATGACTAAGTAAACCACATGGGTATTGAATCACTGCTTGGTGATCTTGCAGTCTTCATACATGACATAAATGCAATCCCACTTTGCTGAGAGAAAACGGAGATGAGTGCCACATTGCACCCAAGCCCATGCAGCAGTTTGGAGGGTGATACAGTAATACAACCCAGGTCTGAATCCCAGTTTCACTCCCTAGCTGTTTGTGCTGGACACCACAATATTCCCTCAGTCTTGCCTGTCAGATGATTGCAATAATTCCTATAAAAGTCCTTTGCCCCAAGGTTGGTCTTTTCACCCTCCCTGGCTCAGCCCACTCTCTTAAGTAGATGCCTCAAAGACTTATGGAGCTATTTAGAGTTAAATCTCATCTACTGTTTTCACAGCTCCATCTAAAGGGTCATTCTTGGCTAAAGTAATTGGATTTAGCATCACACAGACAGGAACGGGGTGATTAGGAGGCTAGGTGGCTTGTGTGTTTGGGGGGCTACTGCTTCTTGGGTTCAGTTGCACAGAATGCTACCTGGAGAGCATCTGCTGGCTGTGGTCTACACTCACCCTCCTCGTGCATCGTTCAGTATGGGCATGGATTTAAGCCACAGAAAAGGAACACAGTTAGAAGTTGACTTTTGGGGATGTTTGTTTGTGGTTGGCTACCTAGAATCATGTAAAATGAACCAAAAAACTGTCACCAGAGTACTTTAACTTCTTTCGGTATTTTTCTTCAGCAGCAGGCTACCAGACTACTGTCAGTGTTTGTTTTGTTCCTGCTTGGTTTCCAAGGTGTGCTAACCAATAGTCAGCGCAGCAAGGCAAGAACCAGGGAGACAGCAATATGAATCAGATGAGCACTCATGGTATTGCGGCAGGTTCTGTAGCAGGCCTGATACTAAAATAATCTTTCAATCAGCTGTATCCACTGCACTGTATTTGCTCACCCTTCTTTATTAGGAAGGGAATGTGCACTCTCCAGGGATCAATGTGGGAAAGAGAGCTCCTCAGGGGTTGCAGCATTTTCCCTTAACTGTACCCTGAAGAGACAGATGTTTAGGTTTGAAAGATGCTCCAGTCTTGCCCAGTTTTGTGAGTCTGAGCTGTAGAAGGAAGGGATTCACCTACCTAGGGTAATCACAGGGTCGTCTTGCTTTCTTCATTATTACTATTTGCAATAGTAATACTCCTTTTCCTAC